AAGATAGAAAAAGGACATGAGCTATTGTTTTTACAATGCTGCTGCATTTTTACTTAGACAAATACAAGGTTAAACTATTTTAACTCAACACAAACAGGTTGTATAATTGGAGAAGAACTTGATGTTGAAAATTCAGACCTTTAAATAGCCTCATTTTAAGAAAGTTTTAAACCATTCTTATCAGCATTATGTAGTGTGTGTCGCACACTGTAACTCATCCTAATGAATGCTACCGCATGGTGGCGTACATGTGAAATGTGGCTAAAAATGTTTCATAAATACTAATTACATCTTTGACCTTGTGGTGCATTAGGATTTGACAAAGATACTTTATCAACTTACCTCAACGTGTTTCTTTAGGTTTGATGGAGAGTTTGTAAACGCTTTTATCTTGTGGAACTTAGGAAGACACAAGAGACACTTCATTCTGTATGTGTTAGGTTTTGTCCCTACTCCGAGGTATCCAAGTAGTGTTTTGAGGTAAGACCATGGGTGATCGTCTCTGTCATCTTGAACCACAGACGTAGTTGTCGGTTGGCAGACATCTTCCATAATTTCTTCATCGTTATCACCGCAAACACTGAAACCACAGCTAGCCATTGTTGTAACATGCCTGCCAATCAAATCATCGCTAGAGTGCCTGTCTTATCTTCTCACGTCTGATCTGGGGTTCTGGTTCCGGTTTTGTAGCATGTAATGACGTGTTAACTTTTAAAGTAAAGAAGTAAAAGTATATTTTTTATGTATTAAATGTAATGAAATAAAAGTAAGTCATGATTAAAAATATAATTGGTAAAGCCCAGATCTTCAAAAAACTACTTAAGTACTGTAACAAAGTAAATGTACTTCGTTACTATATAACTCTGCTAAACCAATACTTATACAATCAAAACTGATAAAACTTATCAATGAAGGAAAATTACAAACACTTCTAGCAATGATTAAAACAAAAGATAATCAACTGCCAAAATTTTAAAAACTATTTCTAGAGAGGAGAAGGAGTTTGGTCTGAAAAATTCTGAGGTCTGAATGAAATTAGGGACATCATTTTATATGAGGATCAGATTTTTCTAGACTTTTTAAGCTTAAAAAAAGTGGGGGGGGGTTGCATTGAACCTGTATAAATATGTGTTATGACCCGGCTCAGTCAGGGAAAAAGGAAGTAACATTAAGAAACCAGATGGAATTGGTTAAAATATGAACAATGGTTTATTTGTAAGACAGGCGTGATCTAAGGAACAACTTTTAACAAAAGGAGGGTACTTTTTCAGAAGTACAAAGAGTCCCAACAAAAATATAAGATGGATTTAAAAATAGAAATAACAAACCAACCAAAAGTGCCAGTAACTGTGCTTTGTAACTTTACAAAGTTACAAATAAACAAACAAACGACACTACCAAACTAAATTAGTTTCAAATCATGTAGTTAAATTTAAATAACCAAAACTAAAATCAATGAAGAAAACACAAAGCTGGGGGTCCTTAACCAWACAAATAAAATACACCAAGAGCCCCATGTTGGCTTACAAGGTCCCTACCCAGGTTAATCCCTTTAACAAAACTTAAAAGGACTAACTTTAAGTAACAAGTAGACCGGGCAGAATTAAACAGAGCCAAGGTCAAACATTCTTCTAACCAACAACGCTTCTGAGTGGCAAGCTGCTAAGTGTCAGCTGCCCTGAACTACAGAACAGCTGGTCTTAAATAAGGAGATGTCGTCACTGATTGGATAAGTGAAGATGAGCAGTCCAATCAGGTCGCAGGAGGTGTCGCAGACGAGCCAGGARGGGGGGTAGGATTGGACAAGGTGAAGATGAATGGTCCAATCGGGATGCAGACAGTCTGAGTCTCCACCTGCACACAAACCTTTTACACACAAATGGACTTTGGCCATAACAATATGCAATTAAATTACTTTGGGTTAATTTCAGGCTCAGGCCTCTAATCAGAAGCTTCATTCACAAGACAGTCCAGTCCGGCTTTAAACTCCCTCGGGTCATTCATAAATCATAGGAGAAGCCGGCCAAGTCCAGCTCATTTGTAAAGGTTCAGAAATGAACCCAGCAGCGTAGAACCAAAAGATGCATGAGCAGAACTCAGCTGGGCTGAAGAGGACCGCAACATAATTATTGTGTGATGGACGTCCGTCTCATTAAAGCTGCTGCATGTAGTTTCTAGAAAAACTGGACTTAGAAAAAATTTGAACAGATACAATCTTCAGGTCCCTCTACCTTGCTCTCTGTTAAGCTTCAGCCCACCTTCGTAAGCTCCTCCCAGACAGCATGGCCCGAGTCTGGAGCCTGAATGAGTGTGTGAGCTTGAGTGAGGCTGCATGCTGCTTAGATTTGAATAGATGGCTGTAGGACCACCAGGAGGAGCCAGATGACTTTTGTTTTTTAGAGATTATCTGTCTAATGTCAATCGATCAATCAATCAATCAATCAATCAATCAATCAATCAATCAATCAATCAATCAATGTCAGGACATAATGACAGTTTTAATAAATATGTCAAAAATATATTTTTATAACTACAGACTGCAGCTTTAAAGAGCTGATGACACGGTTTAATTTTATGTAATTTTTGGATTAAAATTGTACATGTTAAAATAAATGATTCGGTGAGGTTATAAGTGAAATAGGCTTATTTTTGGGTAAATATCCAATGTTTTAAACAGCTCTGCTGAGGAGCTGCATTAAACAGAGACGCCATGTTGGTCAGTGGGAGGACGCTAAGCGCATAGCTAATATTAATAACAGCTGTACACTCACGGTGGAAGCGGTTGAACTGTGGTGGAATCATCAGCCTGTTCCAGCTCAGAGCAGAGTTGTGGTGCTGAGGAATATGTGGTGGGACGGAGGAGGAGGGGGAGGAGNCTGACTGATTTAAATACATCTTAACATTCATGAGGTACTTTACATTGACTGTTTATGGTTGAATGTGGGCGTGTAGAGGGTAGAACCTGAGGAGGACCTCGTGCACAAACTCTGACGTGTGGCTGTGATTTATAAAGGAAAGATGGACAGAGACATGCGTACGAACGGTTTTATAAATCTGATTTTTTTTGGCGTACGCCATTTCTGCCTTTTGGCCGTATGTTCACTTTTAGTATGGTTTCCACACAATCCTTTATAAATGAGACCCCAGACCTGCACTTTAACAATTAAAGACCTGAGTGTGAACAGCAGTGCAGTTTACTTCTGTGCTGTGAGTTACTACAGTGCTGCATTTCACAGCTCCTCGGAACAAAAACCTCACTGTTTGAATTGCTGGATGACATCTTCCTGCACCTGTCCTGTCATTTATATTTCTAACTATGTTTTATGAAAGCAATGGAGAATCCAAAATTTGTTTAAAGGGATCCATGATTAGTTGTAACATTAGACTTTATATGATAAACATATACTTTAACTGTAAAATAAAGACTGTAAAAATACTGTATGATGTTCAGTTTTTATCATTTTTAAACTAAAAGTTTAAAAATATATTACACGGATGGGGCCATTTTATTCACATGCAAAGCATTCTGGGTAAATGACGACATCAACTAGGTCCTCGGTGCGAGGCTGCTAGCGTGCTATGTCCACCCTGAAGGTTACAGAGCTGATGACACGGTTTAATTTTATGTAATTTTTGGATTAAAATTGTACAACATGTTAAAATAAATGTTTCTGTGAGGTTATAAGTTAAATAGGCTTATTTTTGTGTAAATATCCAACGTTTTAAACGGAGACGCCATGTTGTGATGTCAGCGGGGGGACGCTAAGGGCATAGCTAGTATTAATAACAGCAGTACACTCACGGTGGAAGCGGTTGAACTGTGGTGGAATCATCAGCCTGTTCCAGCTCAGAGCAAAGTAGTGGTGCTGAGGAATATGTGGTGGGTGGGAGGAGGAGGAGGGTTACTGGTTCAGCTGGCTGAGTGGACCTCCTGCGGAGTGGACCTCCTGCAGAGCGACTGAGCAGGAGTGACGGGGAGAGGCAGGACACACCAGGAGCAGGTAAACACAGACTGGTATGCCTTTTTTAACTACCTACATTACAACTAGTTGTTTACAAACCAATGTATCTGAAGTGAATAAAACCATTGTTTCTAGTACATTTGTAGCAGTATTTTAGAATTAAACAATGTTTTGGAGGATACTGGTCCAACTTCTTATCTGCTCACATCAAGAAGATATTTAGAACATTATATACTGCTATATATTTTTTTAAATTTGGTTTAATAAAATTTGCATAAATTACATTGATATTACAATTAATTGTTCATATGTAATTTAATCAAACCGACTTTTCTAATAAATTTATAGCAATATAATTCAAATATCTGCTTTATATTGTGGTCAGAGGAGATACTGACGCAACATCTCCCCAACGCACAAGTGCTAATTTGATTAATATTTAGGTTAATGAGAATACAAATCAGATGTCAAACATTGTCTTAAAATGAAAAGATTTCAGCAGATGTACTAAATGAACTTGGATTGATAAATGATTTGGGATTTTCTAACTGAATCTCTACAACACAGAAATAAATTTCAGATTACTGTCATTACTATAATATCTACATATATTGCATGATTGTACATTAAATTGATCATCAGAGGAATTTATTTTGGGACTCTTAACACCTCTGCTGATCACGATATTAAAAAATACTTTTTTTATTTGGCAGATGCCGGTGCCTGTGTGTGATCATAACATCAGAGGAGAGTGTTCTCTATCAGGAGCAGGACAAGGTGAAGCAGAGTACCGATACCTGCCTGTGTCATTCACAAAATCAGGAAGAGACTTCTGCTACAAGATGAGCAATATACTGTATTGTTTTTAATTATGCTGAGTAACTAATTTACTGTTCTTATTATTTATGATCCAGTTTAGACCTCATGAAGTAGTACATATAGTCTTACATCAACTTACCTGACTGTTAATTAACTGATTTTTGTTTTGTGTCAACCAAAATGTGATGTTCAAAAATAATAAAAAAATGCAACAGCAACAACTGATACTCTTCATTTCATTTGGAACAACTTGGTCACAAGAAAAACAACAATCAATACTTGTGTAGCACACATATAAAAATATTAAAATTTAGAAAAGTGCTGGCAAAACAATCAGCTGGTGTTGAAGCGTGACGTGGTCTGTCACGGCCGGTATTTATCTGGTCTTTCACATGCTGAGCTCGGTGGCAACCTTCTCTGTTCTGCACTCGTCTTCACGCGGAGACGGAAACACGGCCATCAGATCACCCACGTCAGCTGAAAGATGTAATAAAAACAAACATTTGTAGATGGTAATTGTGTACATGARTTCAAAAATCTGTCCCATATTTAAAAAGGAATTCATCTAGAAGTTATGTAAAGTATTGAAGAAAACGTATTTTAAAAAAGATCATTTTACCATAARCAGCTTCTAAAAAGAACAGTTTTCATATTCTGCTGTGGCATCAGCAAGGACCTGAAATGTACAGTAAATGATAAATGATCAGCTCTGAACAGAAGAAACAACATGAAAGCATGGTATGGTACAGCAAAAAATATAATTAAATAAAATAATTGTTTGTTCTGTATGCACAGTTTACTTACTTTTAATTACTATATGGAGGCACCTGTCCCATATAATCATGACACACTTTATGTATTGTTAATAGACTGCTACGATTTTTATTTATTTTATTTTTTTGTCTACAGTAAATAATTGACTGAGTGCCTTTAGCTATAAATTAGATTGAAGTGACACATGAGGAAGTGTAATTTTCTTCAGAATATCTTCTTTACTTTGGTATGATTTTAAAATGATATAAACGTTGTGATTAAGTGGTTTCAATAAATTTTAATTTGGGTTTTTTAAAAAAGGTTGAGCAGAGCAGGTCTGGATGGGTTCTTTGATAAAACAGACCGCAGGAGAGATGAAACCGGACATCCCGTTCAGAGGAGCTGCTCAACTGTCCCCCCACCCCTCACCTGGATTAGTGAGAATGCATCCAGACATATTAACTTGGATCTTACCGTAATCTTGTTTTGCTTGACAACCCAAACTCTGGGGGTGAGCTGTGATCTGACTGCAGCCGGATGTGGTTCTAGCAGAACACAGGGTCTCAGCCGTGGCTCCATGGTGCTGCTGCTGCTGCTCGTTGACGCTGACACCGGCAGATGAGTGCACACCCCCACCCCCCTCCCTGCCCCCGCCGTACAGGAGCACACGTTAAACAACCAATTGACTCTTTTAAAGTGGAGACAAAATGAAGAGTCCAGCTCAAAATGTTCAGAGCACAGAACAGACCAGATGGTAGGCTCCACTTATCAGGAGTGTGACCTGCGTAAACACACACTTCAGACGAAGCTCCGAATCGAAACCAAAAAAAAACACACCATCCTTTTTTTCTTTTTTTTATTCCTATTCCCATCCCGTTCCCCAACTGCGATTTGGGGAGGGGGTCCTGAAGAAGGGCGGACCGCCGGGTGCGGTCCTGGGCTGTGGGTGGGCTCGGGGCTTGGATGGTTGCCGGGGGTGAGGCTGACTCTCCATCCCCACTGGTGCTGCTTGGTCTCCTGAGGTGTGGCTCTTGGTTCCTGTGGGTGGCCCCCTGGCCAGGGTGGCTGCCAGGTTCTGGGGGGTGGACAGCTGGGGGGTGCACTTGGTTGTTGGCAGTGTGGTGGGGTGGTCATGGGTGTGGCTTCTCTGCGGCGAGGGGCTGGCCGGGCGTCCTGGTGTGGCCCAGGCCRGGCCTTGGCTAYCTGCTCCTCTCCACCTCAGAATGATTGGGTCTACCTCCTGGGTTCGGGTGTGTGCGGCCTCCAATAGGGGATGGATGCATGTCCTGGACCTGGGGGGTATAGAGTGTGTATCGGGGGTATGAGTGGAATGTGGCGTCCTTGTATGTCTTTGATTGAGTGGGGGTGGGGATGAGGATGGGATGGTGCGATTGTGTATATTTAGGTATTTGTCAGGCTGCGGTCTGGACTGCCCCTACTGCTGGTTTATCTGGGGGCCCGCTGCTACTCGGTCCCCCGGTGGGGTGTGCGGCTGGCCGCCGGCGTGCTGGGGGTTCCCGGGGTCTGGGGTTGGGCACTGGGGGTATGTGCCGGCCTGGCCTCGTGACTGCCTGCTGGGGCTCGGGGCCTCTGGACCTGTCGGGCTTTGGCCTGGGGGGGTGCGC